GATAAATATCAAAAAAGGCACAATACCGTGACTGGAACGATGCACAAATAACCCACACATAGAAGAGAGGACTTTGTAAATGGTCCGACTTGGACCATTTGCAAAGTCACAAGCCGTAAGCTCCTCTCTTCTGTGTATGGGTTATTTGTATCACGGTCAGATGTCTAAAACCTCCAGTGGCGAGTCATCATACGACTAAGACCCGCGTCAGGAAACATTTATCTTGTTTCATGACAAACCTTTCCTAACCTATGTAATTTTATTAATTTACGGACAGATTGTACCTTTGGGTTCCAGCAATCCCGACCTTGAAACACATTCCCTCTTCATAAAACTGTAAAAATTACGACACAAGTAAAACAACACTAAGACATTTAACTAAAATAATACTTAAAATAGATAAATAAAATAAATTAGCACAATTAATGGAAAACTGTTTATAATAATAATAATAATAATAATAATAATAATAATAATAATAATAATAATAATAATAATAATAATAATAATAATAATAATAATAATAATAATAATGTTAGTTTAGTTAGTTAAAGATTCGCCGGTATTCTCCCGGCCCGGGCCTTTTCCAAGTGGTGGCCCGGCCTTGGCTCCCTCTTTACGGAGTGTCTGAGACCTAAGTCTCCCATGGGAGGAGCACAAGTACCTCCTCATCTTTGGGACCAACTGTCCCCAGGCCTAGCCACAAGCTAGGCCTCCTGGTCTGCCATCCCGCCCCAAGGGGCTAATGGGAATGACAGTCTTATGAGCTAAAGGCTCGGACTCAGGCACCTACCCTACCCTAGAAGGGTTAGGCATGGTGTCGATAATTATAATGTTATTATTATTTTTATTATTATTATTATTATTATTATTATTATTATTATTATTAATAATAATAATAATAATAATAATAATAATATTATTATTATTATTATTATTATTATTATTATATTATTATTATTATTATTATTAATAATATTAATAATAATAATAATAATAATATAATAATAATATAATAATAATAATAATAATAATAATAATAATAATAATAATAATAATAATAATAATAATAATAATAATAATTAATAATAATAATAGTAATAGTAATACAGACCTGGCTGACCCCAATAACATACCGTATAGAAAGCCTCTGGTTATGCAAAGCATTTCGGGCAACTTAGGTTAATCTAGTCTTCCAGGATGCGACCTACACCAGTCGGCTAACACCAGGTACCTACTTACTGCTAGGTAAACAGGAACAACAAGCGTAAGGAAACCAACCCAACGTTTCCACCAGTACCGAGAATCGAACCACGGACACTCAATGTGTGAACTGAATGCGCTACCAACCTGGATCTCTATAGACTCCTTGGTGATCATAAAACCCTTCTCTATATTGCTGAGGTCAGAGCATAGTACATGTTATGGAAATGCGGACCGACAGGTTGGTCTGCAATAAACCTGATCTTCTTACGATGGACCTGTGACCTGGTGCTCCTTAAACACTTTCTTTTATATTCACGTACATCAAGTGCTCCTGGGTTTGAGACAAAGGTGCCAAGGGTTATTCTATCACCACAAATCTATTAACTTCTCTGGTAAAATAGTGTCTATGGACGTGAAGATATCTCCAAAAAAAGTTGTATACACTTTCGTTTACTTATACAAAATAAATTTTTACTCAAAAGGTAAAGACAATTTGTGGCGCTATATCTAATGTCAGAAATAAAATCTCAGAATGTTCATTAAAAATTTTAGAGAACTTCGCAACTAACCTTTTAAACAACACAACCTTTCTTCCTTAACCGGTTATGATAAACTTAGTGTTTTGTTCTCTTTTAAACTTTTTAAAACGTTAGTTCCAGGATCTGTTACATTTTTAGTTCCAGGATCCGTTACATTGTTAGTTCCAGGATCTGTTACATTTTTAGTTCCAGGATCCGTTACATTGTTAGTTCCAGGATCTGTTACGTTGTTAGAGCCAGGGTCTGTTACATTATTAGTTTCAGGATCTGTTACATTGTTAGTTCCAGGATTTGTTACATTGTTAAATCCAGGATCTGTTACATTATTAGTTCAAGGATCTGCTACATTGGTAGCTCCAGGATCTGTTACATTGTTAGTTCCAGGATCTGATACATTGACAGTTCCAGGATCTGTTACATTGTTAGTTCCAGGATCTGATTTATTGTTAGTTCCAGGATCTGTTACATTGTTAGTTCCAGGATCTGTTACATTGATAGTTCCAGGATCTATTACATTGTTAGTTCCAGGATCTTTTACATTGTTAGTTCCAGAATCTGATACATTGTTACTTCCAGGATATGTTATATTGATAGTTCCAGTATCTGTTACATTGCTAGTTCCAGGATCTGATACATTGTTAGTTCCAGGATCTATTACACTGTTAATTCCAGGATCTGTTACATTGATAGTTCCAGCATCTGTTACGTTGTTAGTTCCAGGATCTGTTGCATTGTTATTTTACAGAATTTGCATCTCATGATTTTTTCTGAATATTCATTAAGGAGAATGATAAAACTGTCTTTACCTTTCGAGTTAAAATTTATATTGCATAAGTAAAAGAAAGTGAAAACATTTTTGGAGATCTCTAACTGCAGACAGCATCCATGGAGGCCATCATGCTGGTGGTTCCAGGACCAGGAAAAATATGTGGACTCCATAGCCTTCACAAATACTAAAATTAGAATTTTTAGTACAATTTTGTGGAGTATCTTCTTACTATAAGAGTTCCTGTTGCTCAAATTAAGTTTTTTTTTTTTGCTAATGATTTTCCATATGCAAATTATGATGTAAAATAATAATGTAGAATCAGTGTTTATAAATGTAGCAGGATAAAGTTATTAGGTCGCAGTTATTAGGTCGCAGTTATCAGGTCACAGTTATCATGACACAGTCATCAGGTATGAGTTATAAGGTAACCAAGAACTAGTTATTAAATAAACAAGAAACGGTGTAGAGGTGTGCAAGAACCAGTTATCAAGACAAAAATAGTTCCTTCAGATTCTGTGTTATATTTTAGCGTAAATTAATAACATTAACATGGTCTTACACCTACAGTTACATTTTTGAATGCATTCGTCTCTCCAGGTCAGTTAGACCAATATTTTAACGAAGATACGAGAAAAACTCGTTTATTTTTTGTTTATCAAAGCTTTCATGTAAGTTGATTCTTCCTTAATTTAAATGTTAATCAACCAAACGCTAAGTTTGTAAGGCAGAGTTAATAAAAAAAACATTTATACATTGATAATGATGGATGCGTTACTGGTGAAGGCTGGCAATATGAGTAACAAGAAGAGCCACTTTTCTGGTATAAGAACACGCAAGGTCGCCCTACACAGCGGCTTGTATATTTTCTGTGTTCTGAGGAGGTGCCACTCTTATGTGTAGGATGGTACAGTGCTGTGATTTATGTCACTCACCCGACGCTGCCTCTTGAAACCACTGCCTCACCCGACATTGCCCCTTGCTACCATTGCCACACCCGACACTGTCCCTTACCACCACTGCTTCACCCGACACTGCCACTTGCCACCCCTGCCTCACTAAACACTGTCCCTTGCCACCACTACCTCACCCGACACTGTCCCTTGCCACCACTGCCTCACCTGACACTGCCCCTTACCACCACTACCTCACCCAACACTGCCCCTTGCCACCCCTGCCTCACCCGACACTGTCCTTTACCACCACTACCTCACCCAACACTTCCCCTTACAACCACTACCTCACCCAACACTTCCCCTTACAACCACTACCTCACACGACACTTCCCCTTACAACCACTACCTCACCCAACACTTCCCCTTACAACCACTACCTCACACGACACTTCCCCTTACAACCACTACCTCACCCAACACTTCCCCTTACAACCACTACCTCGCACGACACTCCCTCTTTACCACTCCACGCACCAAATGTGTGTAAAACATACATGCCAAACACGTCAAAACCCAGCAACAAAAAATCCTACCAAAAATTTAAATTTCGTCCTTCTATGTTTGTTAAGCCTCATCGTCTCCCCAGAACTATTTTTGACATAAATTAGATTATAGAAAATTTGAGTTACCTTGCACCTGAACTGCTACTGGGAATCCTATTACCATATAACTGCATCTAAATGCCTTTGGGCCATTCGTTATTTAGTGATCTTGAGGTACGGTATTCATATGTTATTTACCAGGTGTCTTTTCATATTAAACGGGATACATGAGGTTGTTAAAGGAGTAACTAAGAGAGATTTCTATTTTTGTTTCAGTCAAAAGGAATCATAAAATCTTATGAAGGGTCCTTATAGAGTTAGGTTATTTCTTCATCAGAACCAGAAAATAATTGTAATAGTAGGTAGATGAACTCTCATCGGGAAATTATCTAGCAGAACGATCAGGAATTAGCGTGGCGAGAAAGCCGCCTTAATTACTTACTAGGAGGTAAGAGCTCATACTTTATTGTCTGAAGTCCACTTAGACGAGTTAAACTGGATGTTGCTGTCAAATAACAAAAACCTAAATGATAAATCTGTGTTTCACATGTTCAATCCCCACCTTAAAAAATAAAATGAATTTAAGAACGTTCAAAGAGATCTGGAGCTCTGTTGGCTGCCTATCAGAACTACAAAATATGAAACATATTTGTTAAAACATTCTCTGAGACTGAGATATATGGAGAGGCTTTACGACGTAGAATTATCACCACATCCCACCATCCGATTCAGTTGAGGGAGATGTAAACAATAGCATAAACCACGAGAAACCAATTTCAGAGCCGCTACTCAACTCGTGTTGTGAGGAAGATGCTTGCGTTACAAATATCAGATTTTAAAATATTGCTTTAAAACTAGTAGCGCTTGCAACGACATCGTTTGGCAAAGGAGAGATTATATAACCGATAAATCTGCCGCTAATAATGTAGTAACAAAACTCGTTAAACTCTTATTGTTCTCTGAGTGCTACGATTAAGAGGTCAACACTCACTCTCCTCGTTGAGTCTGATCTGCTTCCTGGCGACTCCGTACTCGTTGACAACGGAACAGTTGTATGCACCGAAGTCCTGAGTGTCAGCATCGTGGATCACCAGGATGTTCCTCAGACCCTCCTCCTGTTCGTCCTCAACCACCTCATAGTGAGGGTCACCTGCAGGGAAGGAAGTGGTGGTTAGTGGATAGTTTTGAGCGAGAGCTTTAGAGGTCACCTGCAGGGGAGGAATCGGGGTCAGCGGAAGTATGAGAGGGTCACTTGAAGGGAAGAAGGTGAGGGTTAGTAACGTGTTAAGGTTCAGTCACTGGCGAAGTGTTGCATCAGGTCACTTGCAGGGTTGAAGGTGGTGGGTCGGTGGAAGTGTTCGACGTCACCTACGAGGAAGGTAGTGAGGGTTTAGTGGAAGCGATAGTGGTCTTCAACAAGAAAGAATTTGCAAGCTAGTAGTGGATTGTTGCTTTACTACGTTAAGATTTACTTGTTCAGTAATCTCCTTTGCTAGTAGCTGATGAAATGAAAGAGGATGTTACTCGTAATGGACGAGTTTTTTTTATTGTAACTGTTAAAACAGTTAGTGAATGATGGCTATGATAGATGAATTAGACGTTAGTGGTGTTAATAAGTCTTGATCGTATTTGTATGTAGTTAATTTCTGGTTGTGTCATGGCCGAATTGTAACGAATTTTTTATTCCAATGAATGTTACTCATGCCTAGACCAGAATCCTTTAAGCATGATCGTGATGTGAATAATTAATGCTGGCGAAAACAAAGTGAGCCGCCTCTCTCCTCATAGTTAAAGCTAGGAGGCTTCAGTACAGCTTTGTGATTAATAATTATTCCGGTGGAAGGGTCATTCATATAATTTATCACAAGCATTATTCACTAAAAGGTTTTAAAATAGATATCACTGAATCTAAAAGGCAGTACACATCCAATAAATAAAAGAGGGATTGTAAATGAATGGTTCAGAGAACCGACACGTTGATAAATTAAACACATGTGCAACTCTTGGGTATCTTTATTAAGGAAACGTTTCGCCACACAGTGGCTTCATCAGTCCATACACAGGAGAAGCTTGAAGAACAGGAGGAGAATGAGGTAATCAGTCCCTCAACCTTGAGTCGATGTGGTCAGTCCATCAATCTCAAGATTGAGGGATGATGATAACTCTTTACAGAAGTGGGATGATGATAACTCATGGCAGTAGAGGGATAATGCCGACAGGTGGAAGAGGTGGAATGAGACACATTGATGATAGAGGAGGTCACTGATGACCTGACCATTGAGCTCAATATCTCGTTCTTGGATGATAACTATGAAAAACACAGGTACGCAGTTCAAATGTATGTTGTGCCTGGCCATAACTCACTACAGGTGTCTCATTTATCAACTTGTTGCTTTTCTAAGACATTTATACACACTCCCGATGGTATTTTATGTAAAATTAGCTACGCTACAGGTTCGCCAAAATTAAAAGTTCCCTGATTTAGCTGGATTGTATTATGTGAACGGATTAGTGAAGCTTTCAGACTGCTTCATAATGTTTAGGTCATTTTCTTTGTGATTAGGTCTCTTTCCTAGCTTGGTCAAAGACTTGATCAGCCAAAAAGACAGCCGAGAAAGAAAAAAGACAACCGAGCAAGTGCCTTTGTCATTCCATGTAGCACTTGTGACCAGAAATGTATAGGAGAGACCTCCATTATCTCCAGACCACGATGAAAGAACACCAGAGTGCCTGTAGGAAAGACAAATACAGTAGTGATATCGTTTACTGACTAACGTTTCGCCCACACAGTGGGCTTTACCAAGTCACAAACAGAGAGTAAGTGACGTGAAGGGACAGATGGAGAATACCCCTTCACGTCACTATACTCCCAATACACATGTTCTCTCTGCTTAGGTAGATCTCTCTGTGACTTAATAAAACATATGAGGGCGAAACGTTGTCAACAAACGATCGCATTATACTGCGTCTGTATCTCTAATTTTTCATCCTGTCGGTATTTTATATCATTTATCTTCCTGAATAAACGTCCACTATCCCTGATGTCTCGGAATAACGTCCATTGGACATAAAGGAAATGGACATATCTGGGCACACATGTATGGAAGATGTTCTGATTTGTACACTTTCAGTTTAGACGAAGTTGAGACCAAGTCATCTCACACTGGACATCGGAAGGAACCGTTGGTGCCAGAAGTGATCCTGTCTCGCATTGCACCCACACACTGACCTCACTCACTCGGACACTCCCCTGACCAGTTTTTGTATTGACCGTGTGTGTGTGTGTGTGTGTGTGTGTGTGTGTGTGTGTGTGTGTGTGTGTGTGTGTGTGTGTGTGTGTGTGTGTGTGTGTGTGTGTGTGTGTGTGTGTGTGTGTGAGTGTGTGTGAGTGTGAGTGTGTGTGTAGGGAGAGGAATAAGGAATGGAGTGGGAAGCTTTAAGTAAGGGTTGTGGCAAACAGGAGGGAGTGTAGTGAGTAGGGTTATAAAGTTTTTATTAGAGGGTAGGAGATAGTGGAAGAAGAGTGAGCCAGTGTAATTTGAAGAGAGTGGCGTATGAGGTGTAGTATGGAGTGGAGTATAGAAAATAACATGAAGTAAAATTTGGAGTGGAGTATGGAGTTAAATAATAACTAGAATAATTGTAAGTAGTAGGGGTTTGAAAGAGGAACATTGCAAAGAGAGGATAGTGGATGGCGGAGAGTGTGTGAAGAGAAACATACACATAGGAAGAGATGGAGGATGCTGGAGAAGAAGAGAGGCAGGAGAGAGGAACATGGTTGAAAAGAGATGGAGCACTTGGAAAAGGCAGACAGCAGAGGACTCTCAGACAACTGAGAGTACTGCTGAAAAACTATCTGCTTCTCTGTAAGTTAAAGACTCTCGTATATATTGTATGGGGATGAATCAAGGACAAAAAAGCAGAAGGCTCTCTTCCAATTTTCCACTCCCTCCGGCAACTGCCGTCAAAATTAGACAGAATTAAATTTACAGAAGAGATTGAACTGCATGGAAGACGTAAGTTACATCTACCTCTGCTAGATTTCTGGTAGTACTGTTTCTATCAAACTATTCGCATTACTCCATTGCCGTTCAGAGATCTCTGTGTACAGGTTCTACGTCTCGTTACTACCATTATTATCATTATAATCAAGGGGAAGCGCTAAACCTGTGAGTGAATGTGGAAGGTATTAAGGTTAAATTCAGGGAACTGGAGCACAGATCCAATTCCCTAAATCAAGAGACCCTCACAATCATCAAGGAGTCGTCTTTGAGGTGTCGTTACCACCAGAACTTAAATAACTGTCACAACTCTCTATTTCCACCACTACTACTGTTATTAGCTCGGTAGTTTCGTGTCAAGTGATCGTCCTGCAGTAACCAGTGTACAAACATCGGAAATCTACTGACTTCAGATTGTCCCAGCTGTAGCAAGAATATAACAGTCTATGAGTCTAGATTAAGGAAATGTGTAGTGAGTAGGTGAATGAGGTAGAGGATGGTAAAGGTAGCATCTCGTTCAGTTTTCGCTCACCATACCCTGAACCTTGCTGGTCACTGTAATTCTTAGGCCCTGAATGCCCTGGCAAATCCTCCTTACTAGGGCAAGATGTAGTTGGTTCAGATACATATTTGCAAAGTGAATGTCCAGCTTCTTCATGAATAACCTTACTGTTACCGCTCGTCTGACATTAACAGATATTTTATACCACTCTGCCTTAATTCTGGTTTAAAAAACTTTTGCTTACGTTCGTGGTGCACTTTCTTCTTCGCAGTTTCATTCCATTATTTTTGAGTTATGAACTGATTCAGCACATCAGATAGTTCTTCGTGTTTGTGTCAGAACTGTTCAGTATCACAAAGGTATGAATAACATCTCGTACTGTTTGTTTCTTAAGAGAAGAAGTGTTGAGTGTTGTGAGTCTTTCCTCATAAGGTTCGTTACTGAATGATGTTACGGGTCTGATAGCTCTTTCTTGTATCCTCTCCAGTATATCTTATGTGTTTAAGTAATTTGGAGAACAAAAGTAAACGACATATTCAAGATGCCGTATAACAAGAGCATTATTGTCATTATGGTAAATTATGTTCGATATTTCAAGCTATGAGACTTAGTATTCTGTTAGAATTGGTACTCGAATCTAGGCACTATTTCGGTGCATTTAAGATCGTTCCTTGTGATTACTTCAAGAAACTTGTCATCTTTCGTTTCGGTTAGTTTGTGGCCATGCACACTGTATCTGTGTTTGCGATTCTTAGAATCACTTGTCAGTGTTGATATTCACTTAACACGTCTCTGGCCACAGCGCCAACTTTTCTAGATCACAGTCAATATTCCAGGAATCTGTTATATATGCTCCGCATCTCCCCAGTTTGGTGTCATCCACAATTTTCGTTATTTACATTGTGGAAAGAACAGAGCCAAGAAACTAGCACTAGGGAAGTCGACGCTCGTTGGCAAGCTATGCCAGGTACCACTCTGTTAAGGGATTTGAGAAGAGAGAGGGAGAGAGCAAAGACAGAGTGGAAGGAACCTTGTATGGAAGAGATGGAATGTAGTTGGAGGGAGAAGGTGGGATGTACGTTGCAGAATAGAAATGGTAGGTGGTGGGGAGAGAAAGAGAGGTAGACACGGGTAGGTGGTTGGGTGGATGGGAGATGTTAGGAGAGAGAGGAACACGGTACTGGAGAGATGGAGGATAGTGGAGAGGGAGAAAAAGTGGGAGGAGCACGGTAATGGAACAATGGAAGCTATGAAGAGAAAGAGAGAGGAAGGAACATGGTAGGCAAGGGAAGGTGATTAATAGGGAGGAAGAGGTAAGGAGGAAGGAACATGATAGTAAGGAATGGTGGTTGTTAGGGAGGGTGATGTAAGGAGGAAGGAACATGGTAGAAAAGGATGGTGGTTGGTAGGATGGGAGAGATAAGAAGGAAGGAACATGGTAGCCAAGGGATGGTGGTTGGTAGGAAGGGAGAGATAAGAAGGAAGGAACATGGTGGAGGAGAGATTGAGGTGGTGGCGAGAGGGAGAGAATTTTTCCCTTGGTGGCCACGAATGATTCCAAGACAAAAAGTTTTCTCATCAGCTGATGTTACTGGCAGCCTGACTCACATTTACACCTGTGTGTGTGTGTGTGTGTGTGTGTATGTG